GTCCAACTAAGCAAGTCGGTATATGTTCATTTGCTATGTGCCGAACTGGTTAATTGACAACGTGCCGAACTGGCTAATTAACAAAATAGTATTTAGAAAAATAACAAAAATAGTAACAAAATATAAAGAGTAACCCTTGGACACAAACGTTTCAGCGCGTTCAGAAATATCATATCTTGTCGTTTCTGCAAAAACAGCCTTTGTGTGAAATGTGTTTCGAGCTTTAAAAACTAAAAAAAAAATCTCGCGCGAGATTAAAACAAAAACAGGTGACTATACCCGTTAGCGAAGGCTACCCTGATCTGAACGACACTATGGAATGTTCCCCAACGTGGTCTGCAGCTTTTGTGTTGAAGGTGTGGTGCATAAATTATTATTTAGAACATTATGTAATAAAAGTGCATAATCTAGTTCGTTTGACCCTTCCAAAAATATTTTTGACTTGTTTATAGAACTGTAAAAAACACTTTGGTGTCCAACATGCGTAGCGTGCACCAACTTTTGTTTTAAGTCATGGAACAAGCTAACTGAAACATCCTATAGAGGTAGAATAATCTTGCCGATTTGTTAGAACGAATTAATTGAAATCTTAAAATATGCACTTAAATTGTAGGCTCTCTTTTATATAAGTTCGAGCTGGATTAAGGGTCAACGGTGTGTGTGTTTGTCCGTTATTGTATTTATTCCCAGTAAAGGGTATTCCATTATGGAGTTAATTCTCCAGCTCGCCTGCGTGCTTTCATTTTCATCTTTAATTATTACCGGTGCAGGTCTAGAGTCGTGTTTTTGAAGCGGCTCGTGTTCTTTTACGGTATTTTATTTATTCGCAGTCTCGGGTTTTTCACTGTAAAGCGTTGATATACAGGGTGCCTGATTTATTTCGAACATATAAAAAAAAAGAAAAAAAAAAAAAACAGGGGCAAGAGTAAGAGGATTGCCTTCTTCAACATCTATCTTTCAGGTACGGCGGCCATAAAAGGAGGGAATAATCGTCATGCTAAGTTGACTAAATACCTGAAAATTTTTAATCAGCTTTTTAAATCTTGGTTTTACGGGTTCTGTTGGAATTGTAGAATTGATAGCAATTACGTTTAGAGGTCATACCAATATAAAAAAGACTACGAAATGCTAAAATAGCTGTAGAATAGATAAATGGGTTCATTGACTATTAATACAGTCTATCTCGGTGTTGGCTCAAAAAGAAAAACTCTTTATCTGTTAAGTGCAGTGACGGCGCACTAATACACAGACTCTCCCCTTGATCTCTTATGCGGAATGCCTCATGTATTTCTCGCGCTGTTTTGTTTGCGTGTTTCCCCAGAACTGTTGCTTTTTTCAAAGTCTGGGCAACACGGGCGCCTATCGCAGTGCACCGCAAGATTGCCCGACGGGGACTGTTTCACTGACCAGGCATGTTCCTTGGCCCTCTCATTTATGTAACAACCCGTTTGGCCCATATACGATTTCCCGCAACTCATTGGTATGTTATACACCACTGACGTTGCACACTCCACGTATTGCTTAAGGTGTTTCTTTTGACACGCTTTACCCTCTCCCTTTTCGTTGTTTATTTCTGAACATAGATGAGACAGCTTGTGTGGCGCTGAAGACACCACCGGCACTTCAAAATGAGCCGCCAATTTTTTTTAGATAGTGAAGTAGATTGGTGAATGTAAGGAATCACCGCCAGTCTTGTTAGTTGTCTGGAAGGAATATGAGCGTCATCTTTTTTCTTCATCTTGGAAACAAGGTTATCCGCTACTTCCCCCAAGAAGTGATTGGGGCACCCAACGCGTTTTAAGCGATTCCCCTGCGTGATGAAGCTTTCATCCAGAACATGGTGGCATGGTTTTGCCAGCGAGGCTCTGATCTGGCACGATGCTGTTCCCCTTTTAACGAGTTTGGATTGCGCAGAATTGAAGGGCAAAACCCCTTTCTTAGTGCGCGGCTCATATTTCCAACACACATCGTCACCTTCGAAGTTAAGGCTCAAATTAAAAAACTGCAGCCTTCCCGTCGTCATTGTTTCATGGTTGAACGTCAATCCATGTGGATTCAAGTTAAAACAATCCAGCACATCATTGATTAAGTCTATGCTGACAATAACGGACTTCGGGTCAAGCACCAAGAAATCATCCACATAGCGACAGATTGTGAATTCCTTCAAACTTCCGATATCCTTACGTATTCCCTTACCAAATTCAGCCAATAATATATCGCAGAACACTGGCGCAACACGGGAGCCGATACATATGCCCGGCTCCACACTCCACACTTACTCCGCTCGAATTTCTAAAGCTTATTTCATCGGTTTCTTCACTGCAATTTTCTACCGCTGGGAAAAGCTTGTCATGCGAGATGGAATAGAAAAGTCCGTCCACGTCAATAGTAAGTGTAGAATAAGGGTAGAGTTTTTTTTAAAGTTACTAGAGTGCTACCTTAAGGCAACCTTTCAATCCTTTGGTGATGTGTTTTACGTTCAAAAGCGAGGCATATGTATCGGCTCCCGTGTTGCGCCAGTGCTCTGCGATATATTTTTGGCTGAATGTGATAGGGGAATACGTAACGATATCGAAAGTTTTGTTGGAATTCACAATCTGTCGGTATGTGTATGATTTCTTGGTGCTTGCCCGAAGTTCGTTATTGTCAGCATGGACTTAATCAACGGTGTGCTGGATTGCTTTAATTTGAATTTTCATGGATTGACGTTCACCCTTGAAACAATGACGAAGGGAAGGCTGCAGTTTTCGGATTTGAGCCTCAACTTTGAAGGTGACCATATTTGTTGAAAATATGAGCCGCGAACTAAGAAAAAGATTTTGGCCTTCAATTCTGCGCAATCCAGACTCGTTAAAAGGGGAACAGCATCGTGCCTAATGAGAGCCTCACTGGAAAAATCATGCCACCATGTCGTGGATGAAAGCTTCATGACGCAGGTGAATCGTCTAAAACACGGAGGGTACCGCGATTGCTTCTTGGGGGAAGTAGCGGATAACCTTGTTTCCAAGCTGAAGAGAAAGATGACGCTCATATTCCTTCCAGGCAAATAACAAGACCGGTGGTGATTCCTTACATTCACAATCTATCTCGCAATCTAAAAAAGTGGCGGCTCATTTTGAAGTGGCAGTGGTGTTTTCAGTGCCACACAAGCTGTCTCATCTATGATCAAAAATATACCGTGAAAAGGGAGAGGGTAAAGTGTGTGAAAAGAAACACGCTAAGCAATAGGAGTGTGCAACGTCAGTGGTATATAACATACCAATGAGTTGCGGGAAATCGTATATGGGCCAAACGGGGCGTTGCATGAATGAGAGGGCCAGAGAACATGCCTGGTCAGTGAAACTGTCCCCGTCGGGCAATCTTGCGGTGCACTGTGATGTGTCCCGATGTGGCCCGGAATCGAAAAAAAAAAAAACAGTTCTGGGCAAATACGCAAACAAAACAGCGCGAGAAATAGATGAAGCTTTCTGCGTAAGAGAGCAAGAGGAGAGTCTGTGTATTAGTGCGCCGTGACTGCACTCAACAGATAAAGAGTTTTTCATTTTGAGCTAACACCCAGATAGACGGTATTAATAGTCCAATGTTTGTTTCAACAAAGCTTGAGTTGAGAGTGCGCTTCGTCTCTCTCCCCTGCTTCGTGCTTGTTTATTCGCCGCTTTTTGTTGACTAAAATGGTATTTTATTAATTATGCGATCAATTTTCGCGTTCTTTCTCTCTATTTTTAAGATTTGCGTGCAATAAGCGCGTCATGACCTGCCTCATAATGCTTGGAAGAACGTCTTTGTCTTTTGGGTCACGTCGTCACCTGTATCATCGGCGCTCCCATTAAGGACAAGCTGCCGAAATAGTGACGACAAGATTGAAAAGACGACTTCGCAGTTCCCTGCGTCATTTCGACCAGGGCTTGCGAGACTCTTTCTGAGCGTAATGTTTAAATTGGTCTGGCCTCTTATAGTAAGTGCTGTCAATAATACAATTACAACATGACACTTAAAAGCTATAATTAAAAAAAGTAGTTAATTAAGTGATCTCATTTATTAGTCAACTTACCGTGACGAGTCTCCCTAATGTCCGGGGAGATCTATCTTTCGGTCGTGGCCATTTGCAATGACAGCTACAAATGTATAGAAAACTGCAAGGAAGTGTCAGTAACTTGCCCGTATCAGTTAATAGTAAGTATAAGCCACGAAGAAAATAGACAACATGTGATATGGTCGCAACTCCACACTCCAAGTTGGCTCCAGCGCTGTCAAGGTGGATTCGCGAGTTATGTAAAGTCAAGTCGAACTATTTATTTACTGTTTATTTACTCAAGCAGGGGTTACAATTTTATAACAAACAGAAGCTGCTGAATGGTTCGTCTGTTGCTCTAGGTGTGAGGAGGTGACCGATATTAAAATAAATGTAACCTTAGATTATACAGTGACAATACCTCTGGAATAATTGTGCTTCGTATTATAAAAAAATTGAAGTAACAAAATATCAAGTAATAAAATGGGATTACATGTAAAACACAATTGCTGTTCGAAACTGGAATTTCTACAGCATGTTTGCCGAGCCCACAAACAATAGAACAAGAAAGATATAAAGGAAGCGTGAAACAATGGTACTAAAAATACAACACAAACAAAAAAAGGTTATAAACAGCGGACTAAAGCGCATAAGAATGCAAATAAGTTGTGCACAGTAACGGGCAAAACACGGTTACATGAATTAAGCATACTGTAATAGTTTACGTGGCGCTAGCCAGGAGTCACGGAAAGATGTCGTGGCGGGAATATTCTTGGTAAGGCATGTCATGTTTTTTAAGCAACGTGCGCGAATTGGAAGGTGCCACAATCCGTTCAAACGAACGGTCATAGCCTCCTCTCTACTCTCAAAGCCTGGCAGTTCGACGAAGGAACCATGGAGTACCCGGTCGCAGATATGGAACGCGATAATCTGGTAGCGCAGAGCATTAAAGAGCTAATTGTCGAGGAACAAAGACGTCAGCGCACAGCTTTTGCAGCGGCGAGGACCCGAAGCAGACTTGTTCGCTCGGGAGAAGTGTGTTTCAGCGTCTCCTGGCACTAGGGCGCCGTAATGTGGCTCTCCTCTCATCCGTTTTCTGTCGCTTCACCTTTCCCATTTTGGCGGCCCCTTCGTTTGGCGATCTTTGAGGCTTTGTCGGTATATAGGAGGCCACGGCACGGTGCAAACAATGACGTTTTTTAATAGGAAAAGGAAGGGATGAACTACTTTTTAACGAGTTGCATTAATCGATGTGCACATTGTCTGGCTGTTATAAAACTGCACGCTAACAGCGGTGCATAAACCGCGCGTATGATAAAGCAGTAACATTGGATTTGACTCGTTTTGATAAAAGAAAAGAAAAACGTGCCGTAATTTATATGAAATATTGGAACATTCATGCACATCTTTTAGATGTTCTTTTACGTGTCGTTGCAACGTTCCCTTATCATAAACGTTAAGTCCTACGCATTTAGAATGGTAGGGTTGAGTGAGGTTTTCGCTAGAGAACAGACGTTGAGCTGTGTTTAAACGTGGCTTCCGATACCGGTGTATTCGCTGAGATATTGAAATATAAGTTCTTTTTGCTGTGTGGTATAATCTCGGCAAGACAGAAAAAAAGGGCTTCTTTTTCTAATGCGAGGTTAGAGTCCTGAAAAAACAACGTTTATTTTCACTACTACTCGTAAAAAGCGAGTTTTACCGAACCCGCGCGTTGACACCAGTGCCTCCAACAACGTTACCACACATATCTCTTACAATAAAATATATTCACCTCAGCCGCTAAATCACCGCTCATCTAGCTGGAGAAGCACAACATAATGCTGATTTGCGTTTTTCTTTTTACAAAGGAAACCACAATTCATAACTGAATAAACCACCAAAAACAAAGATCAATATCTGCCGACGGTATTTCGTACGCTACTTAGGTCCAGGCTTGAAGGCTCGCAAAACAAAGACCTGGAAGTCTAGCAAAGAGCCACCGGCTTCCCTGTCAGCCCACAGCCGGATTCCTTCCTTTGTAGCATCTTCCAGAAGTAGCGGCAGCTCTTCCCGCGTCAGATAGGCTCTCAATGGGTTCAGGGTCTGCAAGTCTTCTGTTGACAAAAATAGCAGAAATATCAATTTTAGTATACAGAAGAGAACATGAGTCCTAGCAGTTGAAGAAACCGAACCCGAAGAAGCCTAAATTTTGCTATTTTTAATTGCCTAGCAAACACGGACTACTGCGTTCTATGGAAGAACTCTGAGACATTGTGTAGCATAGATGACACTTTGACTTAGAAATGCGAGCTGCGCCACAGTGCTCGGCGTAACGTTTATTATGCTTCGTGTCCAGGTGCGAATCGCAATGTTAAGTCAAAGCCATTATTTACATTGCAAATCGGTGCTTCTTGGTTTCTTTTATTCGCGCTCTGCCTGTTAACTTTGTTTCATCATAGCGTCCGATTTAATTCGACCACTAGATGGCAATGACATGCTTAGCAAGGGACTTGTGTCTTTCGTCTCCCCTTGGACGTTCTGAGTTGGCAATGTATAAGGGTACTTTTTTATCGGCAGTAAAAGTGTTGCGGATGATGAATCATGTAATCATCTATTTCCTCAAACAAGTGAAAATTTTCCACTGATTTTCCTAAACACACAATGTGGTATATGGCTTGCTCCTAACTGTTTTCGGTGCTTTCGGATCCCGAAAATGCGAGTGCCCGCTGAAAGCTCACCCAGCGCTCGTTTATTCAATGATTATCCTTTGCTTCACCGTAAAGGGACCATGGATTAAACTATTGGCTTGAATAAATAATTTTTAAATACGGATTTTACCAATCGTATTTGGTTTAGTGGGCCAATAAAAATAGTGTAAAGGAATTACATACGTTATTTCTGGTAAAACAAATGTAGTGGATTACAAAAATATATTTTTAGATGTCTTTTCCCAAAAAAACACAATATTTTGACTATCCACTCTATTCTTTTGGGCCAATAAACTATATTTCATTAGTAAAATCCTAAAATAAAATCATTTATCCCAGCCCAAAATTCAGTTTATGGCTATTTTGTACCTCCTCTCCTTCGAAAGCTCTGCGCATTTTCACTGCGATACATCCGCGATTCACAAAGCACGTCAATTGGCCCCAGCTCACGCGTTACACTCGATTATGCGTCCCTCGAACGGAAGCTCTCGTCAACTATTAATCCGTCGACGAATATTTGAATCCGCGTTTCTGTCCAATAAGGGGTGTGACGGCGCCTTTCATCACGTGTGAATGCCAGGCTCCATTTTGAAAAACACCGCGAATAACACACGGACAAGAAGAAGAGAACACACAGTTCTCTCCTTCTTGTCCGTGTGTTATTCGCGCTGTTTTTCAAAATGGATTCATACCAACTCGCCCAACTTTCCATTCTAGTAAGCCAAGTTCCATGGTGCGCTTAAAAAGCACGGTTGAAGCTTGGAGTCATCGCACCGGTGCCGAAGCACGTCACGACCATGTGATTTCTCATTGCGCTTTTGAGTTGAGGAGGAAAGCTAAGGAGGAAGGAGTCGAAAAATAATTTTGCGACCCTTTAAAGACCGACCAACAAAACCATTTTCCGCAAGGTAGGAAAATGGCCCTCGCGCCCTCCTCTTTTCACCCTCTCCCAAAAATCACGCGATGGCAGGTGCTCGTTTTGAGTCGGCTTTTTCTGTAGGGATAATCCTCAAAAACCGCGAAATGAGTGGCAAGCTGCGAGCGCAACAACGACCTTGAGACGTCCAGGTGTCTTCCCTCGTTGACGCGGGCACGCTCAATCCGCGAGATTGAGGAAGCCAGCGCGACCGAACGCTTTTTCCCATGAGCTGCAGGTCCGAGGCCGCTCGGTCGGTGGAGATCGAGGGGTCATGGGGTGCTGGGTTCGTTCCAGCAGCCGCTTTCTGGCATCGCGCGGCTGCTGGAACCATTCCCGTCGCTGCACAAAGATTGGCTTGCGCAATAAAGGGTTCAGGTCGTCGATAATACGTTTACTTCCGAAACTAATAAATCAAGTGGCTTTCCCTAATCTCTTCATTACTGTTTGAAACACATCTCCTCTCATAGGTTGTTCATCCCATTTTGGACTCTTTTACGTATTTATTCGTCCTTACCTCTACTTGATGACTGTTTTATAACTTGATAAAGACCTTTAAATATTGGCGTGGGCTTGCGCGACCAACGCTGTCCCGGATTTATTCAAAATTGGAAAGATTGGCGTCAGGAGGGGTTGAAGAAGCAAACAGTAATTCTTGCTTCTAATGAAGATGCCACAATCGTATGATCGGCCTATGCTTCACTTGCCTCCACAGCGCCCCATCGTTTGCACTATCGCAACTTCTCAGTGACATAGCTGTATACCACATTTTACTGATGGTTACTGTAGATGTGGCCCCACAGGCTTTCCCGGTATATGCGAGTTGACTTTTTAACGACCGGCGACTCTCCTGAGTGAGAATAAATATTATCACCTTCCCACAACATCCACACCTTTCTCTCCCCCCCCCCCCCTCCCCTCCCTTTCCCGAGTTGGGGAAATATCAGGCCACTCCAGGAAGCAGCCTGCAGACTGCGCTTTTCGGCTACTCGTTCTGAACATATTCGAACGTGGATGTAAACACATTGCATGAACAACGCTTAGTTTATTTGCAACCTAAATAATGTGGCTCTACTGTTGGGGCCCAATCAATTTAATCATCAATAATTTTTTGTTACGCCTTCATGGTGAAAGTTTGTTCGTCGTGATGCCACAAAAGTGGTCGATTCAAAGGGAGAAATAGGTCCTCGTATTTATTTTGCGGAAATACGCGCTCCTGTGACGCTCTAGTGCGCAAGGTCAACGCACCCGAGGCAGTGCGTAATACTTTAAAACTGTCGTTGACGATGAAATATTTGTGGGAAGTGCGTAAAATTGTTTACACCACGAAAGCATACCGAAAGACAACAAAATATCGCAATGGCTAAAAAAAAAATAATAAAAAAAATCAGCTTGCGAAAACCGTTGCTTTCCTCTCTCTTTCTCTCTTTTCTTTTCGCGCCACTACAAAAGATAGCGGCCGAGCAACAAAATTTTATCAATACCTCGCTTCTTGGAGAAAGGACAGTAGGCTATATGGTAGTAAATCTGCCAGGGAGTTTGTAAAAATGATAGGCGACCATTGAAGCTAGCCTTCTGCACAAATCATGCCCGGAATATTTCCAATTTGCTTGCACGCGATTCGAAGGCAAGACGCTGGGAGAATTTATGTGCGCTAACATGCTGCTTCTAAAAGAAATTACCAGATTTATAGTGCATGTCAATTTAGATGTAAATAGTTTAATCACTGTGCACAAACATTCGCGGCCTGGAGAATGACATGGAAGCATGGCGGAAAGCAGCTTGCTGAAAATAGAAGTCTCTGTTGCATTGCACTGGTGTGAAGAATTATTACGTATGTTTGTCTTAGTTCCGTGCCAAAATAAAAATAGCGTTTAGAAACCGAACCCTGTGCGTTTTGAGGAGCGCCGAAAGGACATAAAAAACCGGGACAATCAGAGCTTGTCCTGGTTCCTTGTTTGTTCGGAGCCTTTCAAAAGGGGATGAAAATTATGAACTTACCCGACTTACCACATTAGAGCAGTTCATTTCCATTGCGACAGGCTGTCTTCAAGCGTCTTGCATAGTCCAGCTTGTACTCATCCGTTTTTATTTTCGGTTCTTTTCAAAACGTGGGCTCTAAGCCACTGGACCAAACTACCACATTCATTAACTGCGGAAGCGGAGAAGTGGAAATGCAACGGAAAGATTTGCCCACGTTATTTGGGGCCTATAGAAAAGCGGACCGGATAGAAGGCGGCCGAAATCTCTTTCAAGAAACACACAATCTTCTCTTCAATTCTGTCTAACTATTTGATGTGAAGGTGTACTTGGCTATGGTATTATTCGTTTAGGAATCAAGCAAAACTTTGTATCGGATCATTATACGTCTACGTTCACTCCTATTCGATGCTTATCATGTTTTCGAGTATGTACACGGGGTGGTTCTCAGCGGTAGTTTTTTTAATCTAATTGCCCGCCAGAGTGCGAGCCAGAATTAACGCACTACGGCCGCGGGCCGTCGCGCTCTTCTCCTTCTTTTCCGTATCAATATACAATCAAAGACGCGGGCGGTGCCGTCAATCGTGCTAATGTCGGGAACCAGTAAGTCTGACCCTTGAAATGCAGGCGTGACGCAAAACCCAGAGGCGTCTCGTTCGCCCACTTACGTTCTTCCAAAGCGGCGGAGATGGTTGTTTAGAGGGGATTATTTTCTGAACGGATCCAAGTTACTCGAGCAAGCTCGCATTCTGCTCGCAAAGCCCAGCCGCTAAGCAAAGGTAACGGACGGTGGTTCGAGAGGCGTGCAACCCTTGCCCGCTTTGCCCTCCCAAAACTTCTCCGCTTCCGTAAATTTTGAATGTTGTAGGTTGGTCCAGTAGCTTAGAGCTCACTTTTTGAAAAGAACCGAAAATAAAAACGGACCAGTACAAGCTGAACTATGCAGAACGCTCTAAGAGAGCCTGTCGTAATGAAAATGAACTGCTCTAATATGGCAAGTCGGGTCAATCTGTTCATAATTTTTCATCCCCTTTTGAAAGGCTCCGGAAAAACAAGAAACCAGGAAAAGCTGAGTGACGCAAGGCGCCTCGTATTGTTCAGGTTGTCCCGGTTCTTTATGTCCTTTCGGCGCACCTCGAAGCACACAGTGTTCGGTTTCTAAACGCTGTTTTTATTTTCGCACAGAAATAAAACAAAAATACGTAATAATTTTTCACACCAGTGCAATGCAATAGAGACTTATATTTCCAGCAAGCTGCTTTCCGCCATGCTTCCATGTCATCCTCCAGGCCGCGAATGTTTGTGCACACTGATTAAACTATTTACATGTAGATTGACATGCACAAGAAATCTGGTACTTTCTTTTAGAAGCAGCATGTTAGTGCACATAAATTCCCCCAGCGTCTTGCCTTCCAATCGCGTGGAAGGAAAATGGAAATATCCCGGGCATGATGTGCAGAAGGCTAGATTCAATGGTCGCCCTTTATTTCTACAAACTTCCTGGCAGATTCACTACCCTATAGCCTGGTGTCCTTTCTCTAAGAAGCGAGGTTTTGATAGAATTTCATTGTTCGGCCGCTATTTTTTGTAGTGGCGCGAAAAAAAAAAGAAAGAGAGAGAGAGGGGGGAAGCAACGGTTTTCGCAAGCTGATTTTAAAAATTTTGTGGGAAGTGCGTAAACAATTTTACGCACTTCCCACAAATGTTTTATCGTCAACGACAGTTGAAAAGTATTACGCACTGCCTCGGGTGCTTTGACCTTTCGCACTAGTGCGTCACGGGAGCGAGTATTTCAGCAAAACTTTGAATCAATCACTTTCGTGGCATCACGACGAACACACTTTCACCATGAAATCGTCACGAATAATGATTGATGATGAAATTGATTGGGTCCCAACAGTATAGAGCCACATTATTTAGGTTGCAAATTAACTGGGCGTCGTTCATGCGATGTGTTTACTTCCACGTTCGAATGTGTTGGAAATGAGTAGCCGAAAAGCGCAGACTGCAGGCTGCTTCCCTGGAGTGGCCTGATATCTCCCCAACTCGAGAAAGGGAGGGGGGAGAAAGGGGTGGATGTTGTGGGAAGGTGATAATATTTATTCTCACTCAGGAGAGTCGCCGGTCGTTAAAAAGTCGACTCGCTCATAACGGGAAAGCCTATGGGGCCACATCTATAGTAACCATGAGTAAAATGTGGTATGCAGCTATGTTACTGAGAAGTTGCGATAGTGCAAACGATGGGGTGCTGTGGAGGCAAGTGAAGCATAAACCGATCATACGATTGTGGCATCTTCATTAGAAGCAAGAATTACGGTTTGCTTCTTCAACTCCTCCTGACGCCGATCTTTCCAATTTCGGGTTAATCCGGGACAGCGTTGATCGCGCAAGCCCGCGCTGATATTTAAAGGTCTTTATCAAGTTATCACACAGTCATCAAGCAGAGGTAAGGACGAATAAATACGCAAAAGAGTCCAAAATGGGATGAACAACCTATGAGAGGAGATGTGTTTTAAACAGTAATGAAGAAATTAGGGAAAGCCACTTGATTTATAAGTTTAGAAAATAAAAGTATTATCAACGACCTGAACCCTTTATTGCGCAAGCCAATCCTTGTGCAGACACGGGAATGGTTCCAGCAGCCGCGCGATGCCAGAAAGCGGCTGCTGGAACGAACCCAGCATACCACGACCCCTCGATCTCCACCGACCGAGCGGCCTCGGACCTGCAGCTCATGGGAAAAAGCGTTCGGTCGCGCTGGCTTCCTCAATCTCGCGGATTGAGCGTGCCCGCGTCAACGAGGGAAGACACCTGGACGTCTCAAGGTCGTTGTTGCGCTCGCAGCTAGCCGCTCATTTCGCGGTTTTTGAGGATTATCCCTACAGAAAAAGCTGACACAAAACGAGCCCCTGCCGTCACGTGATTTTTGGGAGAGGGTGAAAAGAGGAGGGCGCGAGGGCCATTTTCCTACCTTGCGGAAAATGGTTTCGTTGGTCGGACTTTAAGCCAATCAGACGGCGTCAAAAACGCATTACATGGTGTTTGTCATGTTTCTGTGCGTTTTCTATTATGGATAAACCAATCATAAACGAAGAAAACCCAGCTACTCGCGCATAGGACGCTGCTTGATTGGTGCCATTATTTTGTAGCGTCGGCTGCGTCTGGACGTAAGCTGAAACAAAGCCTATACACGGTTGCCAGCCGTCCATCTTGCTCTAGTAGGTACGGTTTCCTCCGTCGAGTCACATCACGGGAGCGAACCTAAAGACACGTCAGCGACGCGCTCGATACATTAACATACCATTTCCAAACAAGTCAAAGTTTTCGCTGCGCGTGCAGACACCGCGCTTGGCCAGAAACCAGATTCGCCCGGGGCGAAGCATTTGCTCAACTGCAGTGCCGACAGCAGCGCCACCGCACTGCGGTGACGTCAAAGAGTTGAGTCGGTAACCGATTCAACTCTCTGAGTTTAGTTTGATCGTTCACGAGGAAGTGAGAGTATTGCGAAAGTAATTCGTCTTCTCCGCGGATTACCTGGATTTATGAGAGGAAAGAGCTCAAGCCATGGGGGGCATTTCTAGTTTAATGGCGGATCCTTCCGGCGCAGATTGATCTCAGTAGGAATACATCGCGTTGTCCTCTGTCTAGAACAGCAGGCGGAGAGGCTGTGAAAAGCTTGGGTACGCTCGTTGACTTTCCGCGCTTTCTCCTCCTCCTCTTTCAGCTCGCATTGCAAACGAGGCACATAAACCGCGAGACCGAGCTCGAGCACTTGCAGGCAGCGCTCCCGTTCGGTTACGTTTCGCTCCCGGCGTTGTGGTGCTGGAGTTACCGCGGCGCCATAAACGGCGGCACAGCGATCGCCAATAGCTGGACGCTGCATCACATACACTGTTACAACCGTCTTTGGAATAGTCGATCATTTAAAAAAAAATCCGCGTCAACCCCTGTCCGTCATTGCTCGCTCACACGCCTTCACCATGTATTTCGGCACCAGGGCCTCTAAACTTGTCAAACCCAAAGTTGGAGACGAAGTTGACGAAATCCACCGATTGGCAAAACACGACGATGACTTCGCGCTTTCTTCGCCGGCGTCCAACCGGCGCACTCCGCAAACGTTCGGCTCCAACTTTGCGTTTGACGAGTTTAGGGCCCCAGGGCTGTGTCAGCGTTCTGCGAAGACTCGGATCCAATCGCTAGGCTCGTGTCCAAGTAATGGCGACGGCCAATGTTGCTTGATGGACATTTGAAGAAGCTGTATTGCGGGAAAAATGGGTGAGGTACTTTATCCTAATTCTTTTTATGCCAAATCTTAGTTTATGTCTGCTAAAGTGGTTTCTCAATCAGATCAACTGTTGCAGAACAGTTTCTATTTGCAATCACACTTTTGTATATGAAAAGCAAAAACTCAGCATTCACTAGAAAGGAACACAATGCGTACTTACGAATGACGCGCCCTGGGTTGGTGTAGAAAGAATCCCGGTCCGTTTTAACATCGCAAATCGAAGGGGTCAGTCCGGCGTTCTTCAAAAGACCCAACATGTAAGAGATGAGCGCTTCTCTGCCAATATGGTCGAGGCTTGGAGGAATGCAGTCTTCACAAATCTGCATGGTTACAAAACATATTTAGAGTTAAAAATGAAGGTTTTGCAAGATCCCCCTGGCTGGTTTGCTTATCTCGCTGCTGCTACCGCGATTGCGGCCAAGAGAGATTTTTTTATGTCACGTGACCAGCTCCATAGTGACATGGAAGTAGTATCGAACGTCCCTGCCCAATGGCAGATGAATCCGGCTCGCTTCGAGCGCACGAGTTCAAATTCGCCCGCAGAAAGTGATTTCAGAGACTTCCACTTCGAGTCCTATTAACATCAGCCTTACGTTTTAAGAGCGGCAGGTAAAATTAGAGGCGGGGATGGTAAATATGAGCCGAAAGAAAGGTGGAATCACGCGAGACAAAAGCAGTGGCGTTCTATTTATACAGTATATCTACGCCAGTGACGCTGCTCGCCTTTTGCTGCAGTCGAGTGGTAAGATAACCGGGAATGGTCGTCGAGGTGTGCAAGTTCTAGGTTCATATTGCGCCACAACTTAACTTTTTTGCTTTTGTTCGTGGAAGTTTTCAATTTGTGAAGAAACACAACTGCACAGTGTGTTAGTATTAGGTAGGCGTCAGACTGTCTTTGTAAAAAGAGCCGTAGCAAGGGCCTTGCATATTCAGAAACACGTAAAATTGTAGTTGCTAGAGAAAAGATGCTTGTTTCGGCCCCGTTTCTATGGAAGTCATACCGATGCTGTCATCTTGGACTTCCTTTAATGAGCAGTATGGAACAGTTGTATTAGCGCATTACTAAGCTTAATAATGTTTTTTTTTTCCTTCTGGTGTGTGGATCCAACAGGCGGGACCATTGAATCATTATTATGTACGCTAGAGGTTCAACTGGCGCAAGTGTGTATGCGACTTTCGAAATGCAAATTGAAGCAGGCAGCAACCGGTCTAGTTTTGTGGCTCTCTTGTGCATTCTTATGAGAAAACGCTCGTCCACTCAGTTTCTTCACTGCAAAATACCATTGATCGCTTTTGTTAATTCGGTCGTACCGAGTAGTATGTACCTTTATTATCATTGTAAAAGTGTAATTGCTTTAGTTACAGTATTATTTTTGTGGGCAACCTTGGGATTCAGATCGTTTTGCCCAGGTTGCCCCTCCGACAATCGTAAGTGTTCATCTGCACTGCGAGCGGTGCCGAAAAAAACTGGCCAAACAAGCCACGCTCCGCCACTGATAAAGGGCCGTCACAGAGTATGGGGCTTTTGGGATCGCGGCGCGGGTGATAACTGTCATTAAATATTTACGTGATGTTGGACTGTTGTGTTGTCTCATTCCCCGAGACGGTTAGCAGCAAAGAAAATCCCAAATTCTTCACCAGTGAACGATATTAAACTTCGTTATATTTAAGGTCCAAATCTTTGTTTCATAGCAGGTATGTAAAACCGAACAACGATTCTAACCAAAAACAAAAACGAAAGGAATCTAAGTGTGTACAAGGTTTGCCAGCATTTCTGTGGCGCTTAAATATTGCAAATATGCCCGTCCTGTCACTATACAAAAATTACCCCGTCGTGCATCTTTACGAGCGCTTAAAACAATTAAAACGACAAGTGTAAAGTACGTGGGTTATGAATAATTTTATTTTCATTATTTCCCATTCCGAGCAGCTTTCATCGGACACTTGTTCTCTGCATTCTCCTTTTTTTCAGATATTTTGAGCGTGCGGGTAACGTATTCAACTCATAACAAGCATCTTGGCACGTAGTCATGAGCAGAACGAATGAAGCAGTGCTTATTTATCGTAAATCCAACTATACTACGTAGCCTTAAATTTATTTTGATACTCCACATGCGCAGGAAGTTACTGATCCAGTGTTACTGCGTAATTCTTGCCGTCTCTTTTGGTTTTCCTGGTACCACAAGCAGTGGAGCCCATGCGGGTCCTACGTGGGCAGTGGACTCTAGGGAAGCCCCTACGACATCCGAGTTTGTCCCACGTGGGCGCAGAGTGGGCAGGCACAATATGGGCTGCCCACGGTGTGCCCCGTTGAGTCCCACATCGGATATGCGACGGCAAAGTTTGAAACAGCTGCCGTTGTAATACTCTCGTGAAACCACCTCGGTTATGCGAGGGCACCAATACTCCCGTGGGTCCCAGTTTGGCTAGGCGGGGGCAGAGTTATCGCATATGTAAGCTTCAGAGGGGCAAAGTATGGACACGCCCGAGTTGGGCATGCCCATGTGAAACCCAGTGGGTCCTACATGGACCGTGCATGGGGCTGAATTGCAATGACGTGGGCTTCGCCGCGGCAAAGCGAGGGCATGTCCGACTTGGGCTGCCCATGTATAAACCCTGTGGGCCCCACCTCAGTTCTGCGGGGGGAAGTCTACGGAAATGGGGGCTCCGTGGCAGGAATGCGTGGGCATGCCCAACTTGAGATGCCCATATCATACTCCCTGGGACCAACCTCGCCTCTACGGGGGCCAATGGCAGTGATGTGGGCTGTACGGCGGCTAGGCATGAGCGTGATCGAGTTAAGGTGCCCATGTAAATTCTCCGTCGATCCCACCACTGTTCTGCGTGCACTAAGTTAGCAACGGTGTACGGTGATAAAGCGTGCTATATGGCCGACATGGGCTGCCCATGTGAAACCCCCTTGAGTCCCTACTCGGCTTCGCGGGGGCCAAGTTAGCAACGGCGTAGGCTGCACTGTGGCAAAGTGTGGTCATACCCGATTTAGGCCGCCGATGTGAAACACCCGTGGATCTCACCTCGTTCCTGCGTAGGCCAAGTTTACGAAGATGGGGGCTGCACGTCTGCAAAGCGTGGGCATGCTCAACTTGGGCCGCTTAAGTAAAAACCCCGTTTATTAAGCCTCGACTCTGCAGTGGCCAAGTCAGCAATGATTTGGGCTCTACAGTGGCAAAGCGTGGGCCTTCCCGACTTGGGGCGTTTAGCTAAACCCCTGTGGGTCCCGCCTGGGCTCCGCGTGAGCTACATTAGCAGCGGTATGGGCACCAAGGGGGCAAAGCGTGGGCCTTCCCAACTTGGACTACCTGTGCAACTCCCAAAACGGCACGTTGCGCTAATGTTAAGAATATTTTCTGTGCTTTTTGAAAATTCAACATGAGATTGGCCGAATTTGATATTGAATCACCGAGGATTGTAAGCCTAACCGTGAGCGAAAAACTTTAGGGTTCATAAACTTTATTACTACCTTACTACTCAGCGTGTATGTTGAGAAGGCCGTTTTACGTGGGGTGGATTCTTTACGAAGAGTTTTGAGTTCGAGGTTGAATTTGAAACACGCTCATCGGAATATCGTATGTTTTAGAATTCGGTGTCCGTAGACGACTAGACCTTTTTATATATCCAAATTACCTGTCCAAATGAATTTTATATAAAAATATGCAAAGATATTGATCCAATGTATACACTTGAAATGCCCTATTTTTTATGAGCTTGCTCAAAATGTTTTATTTATCTATCAAAATAGTAAGATTTCCAGTAGGCGCACGGAGAATGTGTGACATGCTAAGTTTGGTATGCACTGCAATACCCACGCCGCTTGGAAATTTAGAAATGACTCCGCACAAAATTAAATTTTAGAATCTACCCACGTAGGCCCACTGTGGTCCCTACGAGGAAGGCCCTCGCGGGGTACACAAGTAGACCCAGTGTGGGTCTCACAAGGGGAGCCCATGTTGGCTGCCCGAATAGGCATCTTGTGGATCCTCCGAGGCAGCCCAGGCGGGCTGCCCAAAAGGGCCCCACTTGGGCTCGACTTGTAAAACCGGCGTGGGTTTCACGTGGGCTGCACAAGTAGAACCCATATCGGCCAACCATTCAGAGCCGACTTTCTGCTAGGTTCCTCGATAAAAACTTAGGTGGACTGCCCAAGTAAGCCCGCTGTGGGTCCCATGAGGAAAGCCTGGTGGGCAGCCCCAGGGGGGCCGACTTGGGCCCCAGTTGCAAAACCGAACTAGACCCCTCGTTGGCTGCCCGCGTGGGACCCCCGGTCGGCCCCCATTCTGGAGCCCACGTTGTGCTACCTGGGGCGCCGATGTGGCGTTCGCGCTAATGGTGTCCGACAGTGCAGATCAATGCCTGACGCGGTTTTAGTCCCCTGTTTAATCCCACGAATTTGATAGGAAAAAGCCGTGACTGACCAAATGTTTTGGCTACGTGACTGAGAAATGTTCCAAACTAGTTAGTATGCACTAATTAATTGTGATATTTGCTCTTATAATCATGCTTAGGAAGACAATGCACTCGCAATTTTTCACCTAAATGTACTATCAGAAGTCACTTTTTGACTGGCTGCTGTCTGCTTCGATTTGTAACAGCACACTAGCGGGAGTTGAACCTCTAGCGTACATTAGAATAACTCTATGTGTGGGACAAACAATAAAAACAGTGAACGGCGTAGTTGTCCAAGTGGTTGATTTCTAGGAAAGATCAAGGTTTACAGGACGCAAGCACAAAATATAAATTTCTTTGAAAAAGAGAAACATTTAGCTGTGGCGCTTTTCGAACCCTTAAGTTGCAGGCCGCGACAACAAGCTCCGGCTTTGTTAACACTAGACTACAGCAAAGTATTTTTTTTTTTCACAGGAAAACATTTTTTTTGCAGTATTTACAAGTTGATACTGACCATATATAATGCATACCAATGATGAATGCAATGCTCGGTGTCGAACGTATTAGAACCAATGTGCACTCATCATATTAATGTTACAGGATAACAACTCTCCTTTACGTTCGCTGCCTCCTCGGGTGAGGGTATAACCTATATGATATCAAGTGAACGACTAAGGTGTTGAACTATTGCTTTCTATACATCGCTTTTTCATAACATGTCAATGTACCCTTACCTACCTGAAGCGCTATACTTTTAAAATTTACCCAGGAGAGTTTCGCCGCGCCTGCTTCTCTATCAACTATACGCATTTAAAAAAAAATTGTGGAGTCCCAGCACTACTAAGATATTTTGAATGGTATCACTATGTTCAAGAAAATTCAAATAACGAAGTGATTGTTTCATCAACATCAAAAT